ATATAGATTTCTGGTAGAGTGAGAGAGAGAGAGAGAGAGTATTTGATGCATTTTTATCATCATATTTCCGTTAATTATAAAATTATAATTAATAATAATTATTTTTGTATAACACAATTACTATAATCTTTTGGATAATACATTTATTATTAGTAAATTACTGAACAAACCATTGCTTAACATACATTTCATTTACTGTGCCTTTATTATAAATGATAAATATAATTCTTGGTGAATGGGCACGTGTTTAACCAAGTATTATGTTTTGATAACAACTGATAATATATTATTATTTTATTTTACATTTAATCTTTAGTTAAAAAATAAAAGCGTTTTACATTAATCTACATTAGTTTCCTGGAAGTGTATAGTACTTAAACATTGCAAACATTTTATTTTATTATACTTTTAAATAAATTTTTTGTATAAACTTTATGAACTTTGCTTAAAATTTAAAATTTTAGCCAACATTGTTTTAAATTTTATAATTTTAATATATTAATTCAAAAATCAATATAATTTCATTTACATGTAATATTTGTAATAACTATTTTTAACTAAATTTAATAAAATTAACTGTAATGCACTAATTGTGATGTCCGTGTTATCAGTTTTGGGCATTATGTACGTAAGATTAGGTTTACAGTAAAGGTTAAAATACTGTACCTGATCATGATAAATGAACGCCAGATGCTTTTTTACCATGAGGCAATCAACCTAGGTATATCATGTGAACCTGTATCTTATTATATAAATATTTTAAATGATCATGAAATTAAAGTTATATAAATAATAATTAGCATTTAGCACTCGACAATTCATTTAAAATTATATTTAATCCCATTATAAAACTATGTGTAAAAACTCGACCAAAATTCTATGCATGGCTGCCGTCATAATCGCCATTATATTCATTAATACCGGTAATGAGTTTACATTAATTAAAATTTTTATTTCCCAAAACATAATTAAAGTTTAATATACTTTTTAATATGCATTTTATTAGAGGTTTGCGAGTCATTGCCGGCACCGGAAGGAGACGTCTCGGCGCTCGACACATACGGCTGTCCTCTCAACAGTCTGTGCAAAAAGCACTGCATTAATGAAGCGCACGCCAGGACTGGTCAGTGTGACGGACCCTTCAAGAAAAACTGTCATTGTATCGGAGTTGGCACACAATAATGACCATGTTGTCATAAACATAAACGGCTAATTCATTATTGTAAATAATTTACAATTAATTTTAGTACCTACAATGTAAATTGACTTGATTTTAGTAATTTTAATAACGCTATATTACCTGTTGTTATATTATATGATTTCTTAATAAAAGTTAGTAAAAATTAAATATAAATTGGTTATAAAATAAATGGATAAAGCTTAAAAAGTGACAAAATCAATGTGGCAGAAGTGGGATTCGAACCCACGCCTCCGAAGAGACTGGTGCCTTAAACCAGCGCCTTAGACCGCTCGGCCATCCTACCAGAGTTAGGACCAGGCATATTAGCATAACGGTTAATTTACAGAAAATCTACTTTTAAAACATATTGATTAGATTAGTGTAGTTATCAAGATTGTTTAGATTTCACACTGCACAATTAGTTTTAAAAAATATTGCAACATTATTTTTTAATCATAATGTTTGTCAGAAATAATGAAAATACAGATGATAATACTTTTGAAACATTTACAAATCCTATTAATAAAAAACTTGCTCATTTCAATTATTTTATTTTTATGAGAATTATGACAGTTATGACAACAAAGCTTTTATATCACTTTGTTTTTATAAGCCTCCGAACTGACCTAGTTATTCTGGCTGTAATGAATTATCTAATTGAACAGCTTAATTGAATGGAAAACATGGTAAAGTCTGCTAGACTTTGATAATAGCAATGTAATTCTTTGGCTAAATCTGTTGTAATAATGTAATACATTATATCGTGACATACATTGAAATTATATAAAAATCCATTGGTTTTATAGGCTTTGGATTTTTGTAGATTCTTGTAGTCATCATAAAAATTATATTGTATTTTGTAATATAATAGAAATTATTATTTAAATATGTAATGGAATCAAGTTATTTATAAAATAACATATTTATCAAGTTAAATATAGAAAGTACATAAACATGTCATTTAAACCATAATTAAAGTTTTGGATAAATCTTTGGATAAATATGTAAAATATTGATTTTTAATATTAAAATATTTTATGTATTAAAATATTCGCCTTTCCTTTGGGTAAAATGTTTATATAAAAAATATTAATAATGTTTTCAATTCTTACGCAAAATATGATTAAATTTTCATTGAATAAAAGCCCAGACATTCAAATGCAATGCTTGTATTGAATAGTTTCATAAATCTAAAAATGAAAACAATTTTTGTTGATTATATTTTTGCTTTTATTTTTATTCAATCTCTACATAAATTTTTCTATTGAGTTAATTCTCGGAAAATGTATTTCCATTTGAAAACTACATTACTATTTATAACTGGGCTTTATTTTGGTAATAAATGTCGGCAGTGATAATAATCAGACATAATTAAGTTATTTTAATTAAATTATTAA